TTTTTTTTTTTGGTCAAGCTTGCTGTTACGAGAAGCTTGCGTACGTTTTGCAGAAAGGGGGTGCGAGCCTTGCGAGGGGGACACCCTTTAGCAGGACTGCCTAGGCAGGCAGCCCATCTGCTATTCGATTTGGTGCTGATAAGAATACTGGCCGTAATTCGTTTTTGTGAAAATACCCGAATATATAGACTCGATCTCCTATTAGAGAGACTAATTACTGCCGATCATTTTTCTCCTTTTCTTTAGCGAGAAGATAAGGGATGTAAACAGTCACTAGTACCCAGTTGGTCCCTCAAGTTTGACAGATATGACATATATGTGATACCCACAGCGGGATCGGGTTTCTATATATCTATTGGGGTATGACACTTGGTCCGGAGAAAAGACTGTCACGGGGAGGTCTAAATAATACACACGGTATGCCAAGCCTTGCGACTTTCTTCTCATCCGGAAGCTTTTCCATGCTCCTTAAATCCTCTTTATCACACAGTCCTTAACATCACAAAATCCTTAGCTACCACCAAATTGATCCGACCAGATCTCCTTTGCGAACATCACAGACTCGAATCTCCCTCCGTCGCAGCCTCTTCTCCCGTACGTCCGGCTCGTGGCAGCACAAGTTATCGTGGACCATCTCTCATTTGCGATCACTCGGTTCAGCCACCACCGCGCCGGCGCCCCAGAGCTCTGTACAACGTCGAATGCGCACCCGTCCACCTATCAGTCCCAGCAGCTCCCGATCTATTTTGGGATACAAACAAAGTCATTCCGCCAAAACAGCGGGATCTGATCTCATGCAGAGCAGAGAGCAAAATTGGGGAGGTTGGGTAGATGATAGGCATCGCTAATCTGCGTCGACGTCCCATCTCAGCTCAGCTGCAGCCCGCGACCCATCAAATCGCTGTAATGTTCCAAGGGCCGACCGCATCAAGTAGTGAGCCTCAATTCGATGAAATGTTGGCCGTGCCATGTCAGGGTCGCTAAAGTGCATATATTTGCAAACAATAATAGCATCCGGATCGCTGCTATCGTCGCTGTATTACGGGAAAAACACGACCAATATGACCAGTGACCCTTGTGTCTAGCCTCCTCTTGCCCTGATTTGCCTCCATCTAGCAGCTGGAGCTGGAGCTGGAGCTGAACCCCATCTTCTGCCAAGAAAGGATCATAGTATAAATATCTCCGGTATCCCTTTACAGTTTTCCCTTCTCGTTGCACTGTCGCCCGCTGTGTATCGCTTATCCAAAAATGGGCATCAATCGTGTTGTCGAATTTTGGACGATAATCGGGCTTGTCTCGTCAGGAGTTGTCAACGCCGTCGCTGTCAACCCTTTACCGGCACCAACGTCAATATCGTGGGGAGCTTCCGGTCCGAGGGCGTTCAATGGACGAAATCTCGAGCTCAGGGGCTCTCCGAACAAGATCGTGTCTGATGCCTGGGATCGAGCGTACAGTGCAATCGCCCTGCACTGGGTTCCCCAAGCCACCGAAGCTCCCATTGGGACGTTTGCCCCCTTTCCAACAGCTGCAGCGGCGAAAAAATCGAAGCGGGGGACGACAACGCTCAACTCTGTCACGGTCAAGATCACCGATAGCAGGGCTCCTCTCCAGCATGGCGTCGACGAATCCTACACTCTGGATATCAAAAACACGTCGCAGACCGTCAGTATCACAGCCAAGACCACATGGGGTGCACTTCACGCCTTCACGACTTTGCAGCAACTCGTGATTTCGGACGGGAAGGGTGGTCTGATGATCGAGCAACCGGTCTCTATCAAAGATGGACCCCTCTACCCGTACCGAGGGATCATGATCGACTCGGGCCGGAACTTTATCTCGGTGAAGAAGATCTACGAGCAAATCGACGGGATGGCGCTGTCCAAGTTGAACGTGTTGCATTGGCATCTAGTTGATTCTCAGAGCTGGGCTGTCCAGTTGACTTCCGAGCCTTCGATGACCGTGGACTCTTTCTCCTCGAGAGAAATATATTCCCAGAACGATATCAGAGATGTAATCAGATACGCAACCGACCGCGCCGTCCGAGTGATTCCGGAAATCGACATGCCCGGTCATGCCGCTTCCGGCTGGAAGCAGATCGACCCAGCAATAGTCGCCTGCGCTGATTCCTGGTGGTCCAATGACAACTGGCCGCTCCATACAGCTGTAGAGCCCAACCCCGGTCAACTCGAGATACTGAATCCAGACACGTACAAGGCCGTTTCGAACGTGTACAACGAGCTCTCTTCCCTGTTTACAGACAACTTCTTCCAGTACGTAATAGGGTAGCCCGAGTTTTCCGTCCTCAAGCTGTCATATCCTTCTTCCGCGATATGAACCTCTCACTGACTCCCCGTGTCTCTCTAGCGTCGGTGGCGACGAGATCCAAACCGGCTGCTACAACCTCTCCACCCTCACGACAGAGTGGTTCGCCGCCAATGCCTCCCGAACCTACGACGATCTCGTCCAGCACTGGGTCGACAACGCCCTCCCGATCTTCACTTCCCCCACCTCCAAACCCGCCTCTAAAAACAAAACCCGCAAACTCATCATGTGGGAAGACGTCGCCATCGGGACGCCGCACGCCCACACCCTGCCCACCGACATCGTCATGCAGACCTGGAGCCAGGACCGCGCCAACATCAAGAAGCTCGCCACAGCCGGCTACGACATCATCGTCTCCTCATCCGACTGGTTCTACCTAGACTGCGGCCACGGCGGCTGGGTCAGCAACGACCCCCGCTACAACGTACAGTCCAACCCGGACGACGCCGTTCCGAACTTCAACTACGGCGGCGGCGGCGGCTCCTGGTGCGCCCCCTACAAGACGTGGCAGCGCATCTACGCCTACGACTTCGCCGCCAACCTCACCGCCGCCGAGGCGCAGCGCGTCATCGGCGTCACGGCCCCGCTCTGGGCCGAGCAGGTCGACGACCAGGTCATCTCGCAGAAGCTCTGGCCGCGGGCCGCCGCCCTGGCCGAGCTGGCCTGGTCCGGGAATCGGGACGCTGCGGGTCGGAAGCGCACCACGGAGCTGACGCAGCGGATCCTGAACTTTAGGGAGTATCTCGTTGCGTTGGGCGTGGGCGCTGCGCCGCTGATGAGCAAGTACTGCGCGCAGCATCCGCATGCGTGTGATTTGTATCGGGATCAGACGGCGTTGTATACGTCGATGTAGCTTGTGAGTGTGTGTGTGGGGAGGGGGGGCAAGGAGGAAAGGAGGAAAGGAGGGGATTTGGAGGATGGATCGTTGTGATGACAGACAGACAAGAGAAAGAAAAGTGAAAGAAAAAAAAAAGAGTGAAAGAGGGAGTCTGAGACTGTACTTGATAATATGATTGATTATACGGAGACCAATAATATGAATATTTTTGTAACGTGCATAAGTTAAAGAATTTCTATTATCAAGAGAGATAGGTATGTCCATCCCCCTTTCCGGCTTTGCTCTGCATCTGGATGAATCGATCTCTTCGCTTATGGTGTAGCGAAGCTCACATTTCAATAAACACGATAGCGTCCCGGCCCAGCCCGTACCGTCGCGGCAAGCACATTAATTCAACTTATCTCAGCTCAGCTCAGTAACATGATGAAATTCGGTAGTAATTGAATGAATAAAATAGATAGATAACCTAGACCTTCGCTCGTTTCCTAGAAGTTTGTTTCGCCCTGCCTTGGTCATTTTTACCTCGAATTTTGCTTTTCCCCTTGCCTTGTTGACCCTTCCCGTTCCCGTTCCTAACACCATTACCATTACCAGTCCTTGTATCATCGTCGTCATCACCGTCTTCACCACCCATATCCTCCTCGTCAATTTCATTATCGGCCTTAACCATCTCTTCCTCTCCCTCTTCTTCCTCTTCTTCCTCGCCTCCTTCCTCTTCGTCATCATCATCCTCCTGCTCTACAACTCTTTTCCTCCCCCTTGCACTCGCAGCCTTTCCTTTAGCACGAGACCCGGCCCCACCTTTCCCCCACAGCTTCGCCTGCTCCCGCTCCGTCCACCCAATATCGTTCTTCTTCGCCCACTCAATCCCCACCTCCGCATACGTCTTCGCAAGCGGATTACTATCCTTCTTCGCCCGCTTCCGCGCCTTCAGCCTCCCCACCGCGTCCATCATCCGCTTACTGCCCTTCCCGCCATTGCCGTTACCATTGGCCCCCCCACCTCTCACACCAGCGCCGACCGCCCCGTCGAAGAAGCGCGTGATGTTGCTTTGCGTGCCTTCTTGCTCGCGGCGGTTCATGTCGCGGATGACGGGGACGAGGACCTCGTCCGTCCGTTCCTGACTCCACCCAATCGTAGCCATCAAGAAATCCCTCAGCTTCTCGAGGTCGGGAACGCCCCACTGGAAAGCCTCGGGCGTCTTGTCAACCTCGGGCTTCCAGTACGCTTCCGTCACGGCCTTGGACGGGAAGCCTGTGGGCAGGAAAAGTTTCGTAGCCTGCTGCCTGCGGAACTTCTTGCGGAAGGTGGAGGATTCGGTGTTGAGGGGCGGGGCGTGCGGGCGTTGGATAGACGTGAACCACTCTTTAAATTCTTCCAATCCATCTTTACTCGGGAACTCACTCAGTATTTCGATCGCTGTAACAGGTCCCACACCCGGCAAGCCCTCTGTGTAATCACTCCCGAGCAGATGCGCAATCGCAATAAGCTGGTCACGCGAGAGGGAGAGCTCTTTCTCGATATCAGATGCTAGATAGCACTCGACGTATTTGTTCGAGTTGAACATGTTCTTGTAGACTCGCGTTCCCCCAAAGAGAAAGATATCGCAATCATCCGTCACTACACCATCCACCAAGCCAAGATTCACAAGCTCAGCACATTGAGCTTCTGCTTCCATTGGGGCGGTGATATACGGCAAGCCGAATAGCCGAAGTAGGGCTTGACACTCGGATATCATTACTGTAGTAACTTCGTCTGCATCGCGGCGATCTTTCTTCTGCTGATTGCGCAGGGCTTTGAGCTCGCGCTCGTAGGAGGCTTGATTTTCGGCGTCTGTGCGGTTGTTGAGGGTGCTAGCAAATTGGGCGTGCGTTTCTGCTTCGAGGGCCAGGGAAGCCATCAATTCTTCGTCGTCGGAGCTTAGAGCGTCGAACTCGGCACCGATTGAGGCTTGTTCTTGGGCGGTAAGTTCAGTCGCTGGTTGAGCAATTGACGTAGATGCTTCGACAGCAAATTCGGCGTCGATGGAGGTTCGTTCTTCGGCGGCAAGTTCCATACCACTCAAACTGGCAGGATTGTTTGTGTAAAACGCAGAGGCCGGGTCTGACATCTCGGCATCCTCCAATATTGGGCTTGGAGCTCTGGCAACTGGTGCTTCGTTCCCAACTTCGGATACCGGCTGTGCCATCGCGACGTCTTCAGATTCAGGAGATGGGCATTTAGAAGTGGGTGCATCTGCTCTCTCTCCAGCTGACTGCTTCGGATCGACTACCCTTTTCAAAGTTGCTACGTCTCCATAGTCGCTCTCAGACCATTCGACTTCCTCGTCCTCTGGGGCTTCGGGTTGTTTTTCAGTAGAGACCTCCGTAGATTGTCTATCGCTGGGGATGCTCGAAACAGGAGGGTTAGCTCTAGTATTCTCAGCGACTTCCCCTAATGTCTCGGTCTCGGCCGCTTCACCAGCAGACTCCACCAAAGGCTGTCCGTCTTCAAACAGTTGTGCAGCATGAGAGGCAGGCCTTAGATCCCCAGCAATACTACCCAACCCTTTAAGACTCACCGGCCTGTCCACAATCTCCACATCACTCCCACTCCCGCCCTCATCCTCACTCTCAATCACAATTGGTGCATTCCTCCTCCTCCAGTCCCTCTCCTCCTCATCCAACATCTCCCGATCCTCAGCATTGAGCTGTTGATCCCGCTTCCGCTGGACCTCAACCTGATCTCTGATATCTCCCGCCGCCATCCACGGAATCGGCTCTCTCTCTTCCTCCACCGGTTCTCTCTCAAAGCCACCTTCCATATCTTTTTCCTCTTCATCGCCCTCAACAGGCTTATCTGTCGATTGAGCCATAGGTTTCCTCTTGAAGATCGACCCCAGGCTCTCAAACGGTAAGGGCCCGTCAAATGGGTTCTTCTGGTTTGTCGCTACAGGAGCAGGTTGGGTCCGCCTATCGGGCGCCTTTTGTCTCCTAGCTTTCGCTAATGCGGCTTGCATATCCATCTCGCTATCACTATCACTTGTCTCCTCCAGCACCTTCTCCTTCTCCTTCTCCGTAGGTCTCACAACAGCAGCATTCGCCCGGTTGTTAACCATATGCGCAATCATACCTCCACTGGCCTTCGAAATCGGTTTCGTAGCTTCAACAGCTCTTTGCTCATACGCTGGCATGGGTACGTCTTCGAACACATCATCCGTTTCATCTTCTTCCGACTCTTTTCCGTGCTGCTTGCGGAGAGACATGGCGATTGCGCGCTCCAGATGCTCGTCTTCGTCCGTTGAATTTTCGAGGTCGGCATCGTCAGGTTGTTGTAGGGAGAGGGCAATGGCGCGGTTAATATCATCGTCTTCATCTTCATCAAACAGCTCATCATGGCGTGATGACTCTGCTGCTGGATACTGAGACACGAAAAGAGAATCCGGGTCCTCGGAGGGTAGTCGATTACGATTGAGTTGCGAAAGCGGTATTTCCTCCGAGGATCCTCTTTGTGCCGAGCTCTCTTCACCCGTCCTCCCACCAATTCGCTTCCGCTGCTCAGCTATCTCCCGGTCCTGGAAATCCCGGTAGGACATATTGAGCCTCTTGCTCGGACTTACATTCGGCAGGCGATTCAGGCCCTCAACAGGAACATCCTCGAACTCCTCCTCCTCCTCACTGTCGTCTTTGAGTTGCACAGGAACCGCATCGACATCAATCGGCTTGTTCCTCTCCCCCGCCCCTTTCTCCCCACCCACAACGCCCAACACATAGCCCCCCTCCACGCCTTCATTCTTAACTAAAACATACTCTCGCCCCCTCTCCCCCGCAATCCTTCCTCCCCCAGCTCCGCCCCCAACACCAGGCAAGGCGTCGTTCATGCCATTCAGGTTCATCAGTCGTTGGGTCAACTCATTGCGCTCCATCACCCGTGCGATTTGGAACCGTGAGAAATCCATCTTATTCGGATACATCTGATCGAGCTGTTCCTGACCATATCCCATGCGCATGCGGCTCCGCAGCCGTGCGGCATTCAAAATATTATACCTGTCACCCGCCGGCAGGGACATGAAGAAGTCGCCGTTAAAATCGATCTTGGAAAAATCGTACAAGTTGACATCCTCCCCATTGTGAAACTGCCGCGCGTAATCCTCCAGCTCCTCTGTAGACATGATCCTCGGGTCGTTTGGCTGGCCCATGCCTTCGATCCCGTTCGCGAGTTCGGGGAGGTGATAGGCGTCTGATTTTCGAAAAGTACGATTCTTGTTGCGTTCCGCGGACGACATACCCATCTCGCCGACATACACCAGCTCCGCGTCGTCGGGGATCGCTTCTTCGTCGTCCTCTCTCACCTCCCTTCCCTTGCCCTTTCCAGCATTCCTCTTCCTGCGCTCCTCCTCCTCTTCCCCCCGCCGCTTCATCTGCACAGCAAGCATCTTCCCCGCCGTCCGCGCGGCATCCACGACCTTACCCTCCCTCCTCTGCCGTCTCCGCAGTACAGTCTGCCGCTTCAGCACGGGTGCCCCGCCATCAAACACAAACACGGGCTTGATGCCGAAGTACAGCAACTTACAGATGCGGCGGAAGAAGCCGATGACGTGCGAGTTGCGCAGAGCATTCCCTTCTTTGTCGCGGACAGCCTTCAGGAACTGGTAGATCCAGATGGAGGCATCGACGGCGAGGCGCTTGCGGTTGAGGGTGGGTAGGGGGGTTGGGCGCGCAGAGGGCGCGAGGAGGGGCCAGAGTGATGTTACACCCATGGTGGCGGATCAGAGGTTGTTGAGTATCTTGGTAGAGTCGCGACAAGTGTTCTGGTAAGAAGCAAAGACGTGTCGTGGTGGACCGGAGTGGAATATCAAAGCGGCGATGTCGAGGATGTGTGATCCAAACCAATCGAGGGATGCAGAAACATCATGGATGCTTTTCCAGTTGCACTTCTCCTATCGCTGTGTTATTGTCGAGGAATTCGATCAGAGGATGGAAGGGTGGCATGTCGCAAAATGACGTTGATGACTCGCCTTCTCACAATGAACACGCCCTCACGTGGTTCTCTTATCTTATCGCCGAAAAGTTACTGACTTCCTCCGCTCTTCAGCCTCGTCCACAGCCTGTGCTAATTCAGTCCCAGCCAAGAGAAGAACATAACGTCCGCCATCCTCACTGCCAATACCATTACCAACACTCAACACTCATCCAATTATCCCACGACGACACCCATAGCAAGGCGAGTAAGCTGGAAAATATGGACGAGGGCAAACAAAGCCCAGAAGCCTACCTCTCCTCCCTCTTCAACAGGACCCTCCGCGTCACAACGACAGACACCCGCATGTTCCTGGGCCACTTCAAATGCACCGACTCCGTACTGCCTCCCCCCTCGGTTTCCCTTCCCCACCCTAGCGACCCCCTAATCCCCTCCACCTCTCTATAGCTTCCCCCCACACCCTTTACTGGAAGCCCAATTAGCCAGTCAGCAATTTGGCTACTTATTCAGTAAGACTAGGCTGGGGCTAATAGCAACCACCGAGTACCATAGGACCGCAACATCATCCTCGCCCAGACCCACGAATACCGCCTCCCACCTCCCCCGAAAGACATCCAGCCGGGACAGGTCATGGATATGACGTCCCGCTACCTCGGCCTCGTCGTCGTCCCCGGGGAACACATCGTCAAGATCGAGCTCGAGGAGTTTGTCAGCCAGCTGCGGGGACGGAGGGCGGCGCATAGTGACGCGCAGATTTAGGTCCAGGTTCCGGCTGCCGAGTAAGAAGAGTTTTGCGATAGTGGTTCGTGTAATCCGAGGGGGGTTGTTGAGGAGGAGCAGGCGGATGTTGTGGTTGAAGGGGCGTGAAAATGAATTGAAAGGGACGAGAAGGGAAAGGGAGAAGAGGAGAGGGGCGGGAAGGACAGCTACGAGTCTAGATTGCCGTATACGATGGGATGCCTAGCAAGGCAAACAGACAGATCTGCGATTCAAGCCTAGTCCCCGCGGAGGAGGGCTTCTGCCCTGGGGTATGTTGAAGTAAAGATTGTAGGCTCATCATTTGAGGGAGCACGGGAGTCTAGAAACAGGCCAAAGGAAAAGTAACGAAACGGGAAAGAAAAAAAGATGAGCAAAGCGAAGGGACGATATTCATCCTGCTGTATATGCTATGATGAGAAGTAGGAAAATATACGCAATCAAAGACGGAAAACCAGCCAGCCAGTCAGAAACTCAACCTCGCTATACCCACCCGTAGGGGCTTTCATCGTCGTCGAAATGGACCTTTGCCTTTCACCAGGCCAGCCGAGTATGAAGTTTGAGCGAGTTATTTGGAAAGAATAGAAGGAAGAAAGGAAAGGAAAGGAAAGGAAAGGTAAAACAAGGGTTTTTATCCAAGAGTGAAAGGAACGAATAGTATTAGAGGGAGAGAGGAAGCGAGCATGTACTACGTAGTAGTATGTACCTACCTAATATATTAAAGTTAGGTAGGGAAGGCTAAGAGAGAAAAGGAAGGAAAGAAAAACTGAAACTAAAACTATGAAAAAAAGATGGAAGAGGAAAGAAAAAGAAAAGAAGAAAGAAAACCCCTCCATAACCAATTTGAAGTTGGAAGAAAAGAAAAATTTTGGAATCTTGCGAAAACGTGAATAGTAGGTAGCCTTCTCGCTAGTCTAGATATTAACATCCAGGTTCGACTGAAAAAGTAGGTCATCTAATGTAAACCCCGTGACAAGTACGATGTGAAGAAGATATAAACAAGTCTGGCATGGCAGACCAAGGTGAGTGCAGGATACGGCCTGTATCGCTTGGAATAGATGCCATCCAAGCCCTTCCCAGGGCGAAGGACCGCTGCCCACCACCGAGCGACATCATCATCATCAAACATCGGCTAGATCTACAATCGCGGCGGTCGAGCCAGTCGGAGCCCTCCCAGGCAGGGTAAACTGGTCATCCCATTCGGCCTCGCGACTGCTGTGTTGTGTTCAGGCCCAGACGCTCCGGGAATGATCTCGGCCCCATCGCGCGGAGAAGGATGTACCTAGTAGGTAGGTACCGGTACAACAACAAACGGTCCAGGCAAGTACATAGGTATGAGCCAAGTGATCTGGTCATCATCTGACGTAGTAAATCTTCCGACCACGATACGCTTTAACAAGGCAGATAGTACAGTAGAAACTAGACACCTTTTACTGACAAGAAATAGCTTACGGCGATCAGACGAGATTCGATCTTGTCTCATTCACTTCGTAAGAGTTGATCAGAGCGGAAATATAAGAGGTTGGCTTTCGCTTTTGACTGGACTGTAGGAGAAGTCTTGGAATAATTGAGCGCCTTCAGCTTTATCTTTTGTATCGAGGTCGATGAGAGAAGCAGATTTAAGCTTAACGGTTTTTCTTAAATACACACCTCACCCCGCCCCACCCCCGCCGAAGATAGAATCAAAATTTGAAGTCTGGAAAGAAGGGAAATCAATTCAGCTGTAATCAGTTTCCCCGTTTCCTCGTTTCGCTGCCTTAGGCTAGCGGCTAGCGCCGATCATCGGATCGTCTTTCCTTCCGATGTAAGTAAATTGAATTCCGTAAGGATGTCGTTCCGTTTGAAAAAGAATTAAGCATTCATGGTAGGCAAGACAACAACCCAAAACGAATTTAACAACCGGATATTCATCTTCAAACTAAGAGGACATTTATTAATGTCGGTATCACAGGTAACATGTGAGAAGTAGGTACGACTATATGGGTGGTACCAAGTGTACCTATTCGTAACGTCTGAAAGATGGAAGCTAGGTACCTATTCTGCGGAGTAAGTGCAAGACGACGGGGCCGGCGTACGGGCCGGGACACCTTCCGGTCTATGCCCCATGTCCCCAATGTCCATATCCACATTCCCACAATTAGCTTACTTGCTTACTTAAAGGGTGTGTATGGCTCGCAGTTGCACGTCCGTGCAACTAGGCAGTTGAGTTGATCTTAAACAGGATCGACTCAACTTGACAGTGGAGGTGGCACGTTCCAAGGCTTGTATGGCTCGCAACTAGCAAATTGAACAGCAATTTGCTTCAGTGTTTTTACGAAGCTTTTTTTGTAGTATTGAATAGCGGCGCATGCTCTTATCGCAGCGATAATAACACTTATATTGCGATTGCGCAGATTACGCCTTTTCAAAATGTCTTGAGAAGAAGCCATAGCAAAAAGGTGGCGTTGTAAAAGGATGAAAAGGTGATCAAAATAAGCGGAAAGGAAGGGGGGGGAGGGGAGTGAATAGCTTGCAACTTAAGCTTGCAACTTGGGAGTTAGAGCTTTTTGCTGCAACCTCGATTTGTATTGTGCAACTGCAAGTTGCAAGATCAGATGCACACTTTACAAGATTTACGTGCACGAGCCATACAGATTGCTCAATTCTTGCATCTTGACGTGCAACTTGAGGATGCAAGAATATTTTGGTAGTGCAACTTGGCTTGCATCTGCGAGCCATACAGGCTCTTGTTCTCTGCGTATGATAGTGAGCGTATGGATCGGACAAATAGGCAGACGAATAAGCAGTCAATTTAGGGTGATGAAACAGAATGAATTAAAACTTACTGCCATCAAGCACGTTTACCCTTAAAAATACGAGTATTCATTCCGTTTCCCAAGCATTATCCTCCCTTTCCTTCCATCATCGAAAAGAAAATTACCCATTAGCATCAAAAATTATCCATTACCTATCCCTGCCATCCGTCCATCCGTCCATCCGTCCGTCCGTCCGTCCGTCCGTCCATTAACAAGCATCAAGCATAGCAGTAAAAGGCAGCACGTTTTTCACCATAAAAAAAGAGAGAAATATCGGTCGGCCGAATGCTAGGATATCAGCATCCACTACTAAAGCGACCAGACTCCTTCCAGCACACCCTTAACGCTCAGACTTCATCAACCTCAGTCGAGCTCAGGGAAACAGGTATTTAGGCAGCCACAGACTCCTGACGGCCTCGGCTCTCCCCATTCACAGCACTTTCCTGGATGGACGGGGCGCGGACTTCCTCCTCGTCATCCTCTTCCTCGTCATCATACTCGTCGCCCTTGTGAGCGCTAGCTGGGATCCAGAGGCCGCTCTCGCGGTCGTGCAATGGAGCGTCCTGGCCAGTGAGATCGTGACCCTCAGCGTTGCGCTGGATGTTGTTGCGACGGCGCTGAGACAATGTTCTCGCACGAGTGGAGAGAGTGGAAGAGACTTTGGCGTTTGCCGTAACCCAGTTCGTGAGCGCATCCTCGCAGTCCTGGATGATGGCCTTGGAGGCTTCGTAGCCATCGTAAGCAGCACGGGTCTCACCAGGAGTGACGGGGGTGTCGTCGACGAGCTCGAGCAGGTGCTTGCCGTAGCCAGCGATGATGGCCAGCTTCTCGCAGTGCTCGCGCAGCGCGTCGAACTGGTAGGTGTAGGCAGCCTTCAGCTTCTCGCGGGTGATGTTGGAAAGCTGGGCTTCGGCGACCAAGGACTCAGCTTCGGCACGGACGAGCTCTTGCTCGAGCACCACGATCTTAGGGGAATTGGGCTCCTTGTACTTGAGCTGGGCGATTTGGTCGGTGATCTTTTGCTTGCCTGCACACGTGATTAGCTAGATGCGTAAAGATTGGGATGTATGTAACAAGGGAGGATGGACGTACGGTCTCGGCTGGGTTGGACGGAAGCCTCAATGTTGCGGATGGACTTGATAGTTACCCGGTATTGATCATAGCGGTCGATGTACTGGTCCTCGAGCTCACCGATCTCATAAATTAAGACGCCGAGCTTGTCCGTGACATCTGAAACATCGTCATCGCACGCCTCACCCCAGATGGAAAGTTGTTGCTATGATTCATCAGTTTCGGTAACAAATCGACAATGCACGCTATGCATCCTAAGAGAGCCACCTACCGCAACCTCCATGCGCTCCCGACCCACGAGCTCCATGCTGCGCATAACGTTCTTCTCCATCTTCACGAGCTGGGAAAGCTTCTTAGCGAGGTCGGGGCCGCCGACACCCGCAGCTTGACGGCGGAGGGCATGGCCTATTTTGAAGCAGATTAGCAGGATGCCGCAGTATATGGTATACAAAGATGGAAAGTCGCATTGCTGTCATGATTGAGGATTGCGCTGTTCTTGTAGCAAGGAAAACAAAGCCGCAGGCAAGACGCGACCGTGATTCATCATGCCATGCATCCCTTAGACAGCAGCAACTATCCTCAAGCGCAATGTGGGGTGTATGTATTTGTACTGACCAATTGCTCCTTTTCCGAAGAATCTGCCCGACTTGGTGCTGGAGGATGGCGGGGGCGGGTTCTGCAGTTGCGAGGCCTGTGTTGACGTTGTCAGAGACGGAGAGAGACAGCAGCGAGCGTGGATGGATGGATGGATTGATGGATATACGTACAGTAGGAGCCCGCGATTGTCTCATGGAATAGGTGCGATGCATACTTGCGGGATATGTATGTGTATGTGTAAGTGCGTGTTTGTATGTAAAGGTGAGTACGGAGAGAAGAGGTGAGGTGTGGTGTTCAAGGAGCCTTGATGTTGTTGCTATTGTTGTTGTTGTTACGAAGGTGACGATGGATGCACGCAGCCAACTCCGTTGGGTGTGGCCAGGTCCAAGCTAAGGTAGATGACGATCGCAGCCAGATCCATGACGTAGCCCCCGGCCCCGCAATCCCGCACCTTTCTTTCCATCTTCTTCGGTACCGGTATAAGCTTGACTTTCCAGTGTTTCACAAGGATGTATCTACTATCCTGATCAAAAAAGCTGGACCCTGAGCTCGACCTATTTTTGTTGTTGTTATATTTATTAACGTCGGGCGGGTATCCAAAACGCAATGCTTGGACCTTAGAGACCTCTTATAAGGTACGGCGACGTGCTAAATAGAGGAATTATATACAAAGTACTATTTAATCGAGAGTAAAAACTACGTTAAGGAAAACCTTTCGTCAAATAGCTAAACACTTATAAACTCTTTAAAAGCAATTTATAATGATATGCGTCGAGTTTTCTTTCGACAACTATCGAATACGTATAGCTTTACGGGCGGCCTCGATCCGTATAGTACAAACATCATTCTCTTCCGTCGTAGAGCTAAGAAGGCTCGCGTTCGTAGCCTTTGAATAAAGCCGGTGTGTTTGCAAAACGCTTTTTCGAAAGCGCAGTACCGTGTTTTCGATCAATCGAACTAAGCCTTTCTTATCCTATCTCTTATACACGTTCCCTTTTTATCGCAAATCCTCTTAGTCTTTTCAATCGGTATGCCCGTCAAGTATAGATCGTAGTCGGCGTAGTATTCGAGAAGAAAGAGGAAGGATGTTCGGAATCGCCGGTAAAAGAAAATCTCTTCGAGGAGACGTCGCATGTCGATGATTCAATTTCAGCTCTTTAGACTCTTTATCTTTCTTTCTACCGCAAGAGAAAGAAAGAAAAAGAGCTGAAGGTTCGTAGAAGGCACCTCGTACAGGTAAAGAATCGTAGCCCCCCTTGAGCTCAACCTAGGATAGAGCTTTTGCGAATTTGTTCACTTACGAAGTACTGTAATAGTACTACTTATTTTCATTTAAATGCTGGCATCCTATCCTGGATCGTCCCTAGGATACCAGGCTCTTTAGGTTCCCATCCCTATATTCAAACAATTCCCTTTATACGTAGTATATATCCACGCAAGTCACGCTTAAGATTATGTTGTGCAAAAGCAGAACTGCCATGCACATTGCAATTTCCAGTATTATAACCCTATTCCCCTCAGAGCAGGCCGGTTGAGACGCTCCACCGACCGCTCTGTATTACCACGTAGCGGTTATCACGTGGTGGTTACTACTGTATTGCATAGCATGAATGGCCCGATAGCCCTTTGCTGACGTAAAAGATATTGCTGCTATCTATCTCCATATTGTCTAGATTTTTGATCAGCGATGCCACCTGACTAAGCTGAGTAGTCAGTACCTACCGGTAGATCGAGATGCATCCCCGCAGCTGACGATGGCGGGGCAGCATCGGGTTTTTGATTAAGGGAAATCAAATTGCATACACAAATCTTGCTCATTCGATACTTAGGTAGCTAGCGATCGACCGGCCAGCTGACCTACCGGTATCGGAGCGAATGTGGCTCTTGACTGTTGTGCACAAGCAGCCCTGCAATGCACATTGCAGTTGTATACGGTAATAAGCCTATACCGCACGACAATTACCGGTACAGATGCCTTAAAGCTCACGTATCACAGATCCATCAGTACAACGGTCCACCACCACCACCACCACCACCACCACCACCACTACCACTACCAACCCATCCTTTTACCTGCCACCTGCATCACTAAATTAATCAATACATACCACGAAATATTTATATGACCTTTTAGGCGATGCGCGATAGGTGCAATGATTCGAAAACTAGATTGGTTTAATAAAGGCACCGATCGAGGCATTCAGTAATGAACTGCACGATATGGAGTCCACGACAAACCCGGCGTGCAGGTTAGGCTCATGCTTATGGAACTTGTTAGTGGGCTTTGTTGCCATACCATGTAACCATGGAAGGAGCCCGAGACGGTGCTAGTACCGGTACAGTACTAAGCAACTGCTGTTAGCCATTTAAGCGAGAACTCCAAATCAACAATAGACATCCATTTTTTATTCCTTAATTACGCAATAATTACAAATCCAAATTAAATAAAAAAAAATATCATTTTATTCCTTAGACTCCTTTTATCCTTCTTAATTTTTAAGCTAATTTTTCGAAAGCGCACGAACCTTAATATTTAGTATACCAGCCTTTAGCCGCGATACAAGCTTTAATTCTATCCGGCATACTCTAATACAAATTATCGAATAACGATTGATCTAATGTATCTTATGCAGCTTGCAAACAACTTTCTATCTTTTGCTTTGCGTGTTTTAAATTCGATTTATCGATCGCAACGTCGAGGAACATTTAGTAAAGCTTCTTTTTAAGATGCTATTAAACGTGCTCGATCGGATTGAAGTCGAGAGAAAAAGGTAGCTAATTAATTAATAAAGTAATCTTGTTTTTGCCGAACTAAAGCTGAACTTTCTTTATAGTATAGATTGATGCATTGTCTTGCTAAAACTAATATTTGCGAAGCAATTTTCGGAAGATTAGCTTGACTTCGGTTTCGAGGACTTCGAAGTAAGATTGTGCCGAATACTCGTGTTTTTTCGATTCGAAATCTCGATCTATAATATAAAGATTCGATTTTCCGCGGTCTTAAAAAGCTCTTTAAACTATCACTTTCATATTCTTTTTCGCATCGTATGTTTAGACTATCCGACGATTTTATTTCTTTTTAAGCGTGCGAAAAACCTATTCGGTCTCTTTTCTTCGACTTCGCTCGATAGAATACTCATCCGATTAAACGATTTCTCTTTAATCTTCGACCGTCTACTTTCGATAGTCTAAACACTATTGTAATCGAGCAGCCGCGTGTTTTTCCGTAAGTTCGAGGCGCTTTTTACACTTTCAATTGAAAATTCTATGATTTTTTAAAATCTTTTTAATAGTAATCTTTTTATAATCGAGATTACACGCTCGAATGACATCTTTGTATGAATCTTTAAGATTTAAACGAACGTATCGTAATAGAATTCGTTCGTCGGATGCCGAATATGATTTCCGCCGAGCAGCTTTCGGTATAGATGTACTTTCGTTGCGTAATAAAGCTTGCTTTCGAGTATAATTAATCGTGCTACGAAGTATTTCGAGAGCTTTTATAATAACGGTCGGATTTGCATCAAAAGCAAAGCCGCTTATAATTAATCTTCGTTGATAAAAAGAAAGATGATGCCGAATAAGCCGATTACTAGACGTCGCAGCAAAAAGAGTACGTTAAGGTGGCATTTTTGCAATGGTTGTACAAGGTAAAAAAACGCGTGTCGCGAAAAATCGCGGTTTTATGATTTTCGGCTAACAGCAGTTGCGGGGCACTGTAGTAGAGTGTGTACAAAGGTTGTGACTATATCTGCCCAGATCCGTCCACATCGATACCAGCTCATCCAATCCTAGGCTAGAGCTAGAACCTCCACCCAGGTACAGGTATATCCCGTCCTTTTTACATTGTGAAACATAATACAAAAGCAGAGAGCAATACTACCGTTAGTACATCCACCATTCAAATCATACCGTCCGCCCCATGCGTAAGAAGAGCAACGAAGTCTCATCCGATTTTTTTACCAGTTTCAATGCAACTCCGTAAGATCAATTAGCAATAATGGAGATGGCAGAAACAGAAAGGGGGAGGATAGACCAGATGGATGTATCTCTGAAGCCCAAGACAGAGAAAATAAATGCGATGTGGAATAGCAGAAAAAATGGGGTGATAGATATCTGTGCGTACGGTACAGCGAGAATGTTCTGTTGTAGAGTTTCAGGCGCAAAGGCCATGGGTCTATAACGAACGGGATGATATGGAAAAATTGAAGGATGCCATGATAGGTAGATATAGATATGGGAATGGATATCGTAGTAGGGGAACTTGAACATAAGACGGGAGACGGCGAGCGCGCTGTGCACTATTCCCTAGTAGCAAGCCTTGGGCTTTTGTGCCCCGAAGAACTCCACCAAAAGACTGATTCTTCGTCTTACACGGCTTTTGCCTTCAAAGAGAGTCGGTTTGATAGGGGAAAGAAACCAACAAGAGAGCCGAGAACTTATAGTATCACTTTAGTACAAATAATGGAGTAACAAAGGGGCCGAACTCGACGCTAAAAACGGGGCTTTGAGAGCCAAGCCACGTTTAGCGCCCTTTCCACCGACTATTCAGCATCAAAATGAATCATTTAGACGAACCCAAGCTACTACGTAGGTAGTAGTAAAAGAGGGCTTAGTGAGCTCTCACATGAAACAATGGGATACGCAGCTCTTGAATCCGACATTGGCTACTCACGTCATAAGGAGATTTGATGTCTGCATGAACTTCCAGCTTGAGCCCAGAGCAGTGATTAGCCAAGCGTGTGTTTCGGTCTTGTTACGTGAGTAAGTAGGTATACGAGAAGCGAGCAGCCTCGGCGAGCGAAATCGGCCTTCTTTGGCCTCTCCACCCCTGACTCCCATAATAAACCATCACCAAGATGACTCCACTTTTAGGCTTCTGGAACACTGATTAATGATCGTCATCTTTTGAAACCGTCTACCTTACGTACTAAATTCTTAGTTATGGCGCTGATTCTATATTTAGTATAACTGAATGACTTAACTCGGCTGGGAAACTTGTTTATTGTTGCATGTCGAAAGTATCATTTTGCAGAGAATCTTACCAAGGCTTAAACCAATCAACTTATAACAATCCAGCCTCGAAAAGTATTTTTAGGTCAGTATTAATCTGTGCAATTAAGTTGATAGAGCTTTAAGCAGTTTCAGAATAGCGCTTTATGATTTATAAGCCTAATCTAGGTCCGATATTTAAATACCGGTACAAAGGAGTATTCTTATCCCGGAGCTTAGCGAATCACTTCCTGGTTAAAGGATCAGAACCCACCGCCGCGTGCCCGAAGATACAATTTGGCAGATATGGAATGACGGTATAAAGTCAAGGAGGCTAAAAACAAAGGAGCTGTGTGCACTAGCCAGCCTCTGTTTCACAAATTGATAATAATGAAGACTAAAGTTGCTGCAAGCTCTCTTTAACATCAAAGGTCATCACTGGAAATTTTCTTGCATAAAGCAGCCGGTAGATCTAGCTGGGCGGCCCACTCAAATAGTGGGTTGAGGCATGCGAAAACCAACTCTACGTACCGGTAATACAATGTTCGAGGCATGGGAAATAATCGGCCTCCGGTCGGCCTTCGTAAGGCCTTCGTAAGGTTATCGCCCAGTAAGCGCCGCATCGAATGAAACGAAAGTAGTAGTACCTTACTACCCCCTTCCATGAATAAATGTCGAAAGTATAATTTCGCAAGGGATCTTACCAGGGCTTAAACCAATCAACTTATAAGGATTCAGCTTTGAAAAGTATCTTTGAGCCAGTATTTAGTCTATACAGTGGAGTCGACAGGGCTTTAAGCCATTAAGAAACCACCGCTCTATGATTTATGGGCCTAAACTGGGTCCGACATCTATTCATGGGGGGGTAGTAGTAATAAGAGAAAGAAGGGGTGAAAGAAATAATTAATATGAATCACATTCATTTGCGACAAAGCCGAGTGATACTTACATAGTAGTTCGAAGTTTATAATTGTAATAATTTTAACTACGGGCTTTTGAAATGTATTTAAATACCTTTAAAGTCGCCCTGTACTTTTGTTCATCATCATCAATACGGTCCGGCACCATACTTCTTTACAGCTACTTATTTCCTCTATAACAACAACCCTTTTTTGACTTCTTTATCAACATGCAATTCATCAACGCTTTCTTCGCTGCAACCACTATTGCAATCGCGCTTGCGAGAGAAATACCTGCTCCTAAGCCTAAAAGTACATCCGAGTTTGGTTTTGAACGCGAAGGACAAATCTTGATCTGCGAAGACCCTGATTTTCATAAGTGCACTAACGTCACTTATATGCAAGACGCATGCGGTAAGAAATCCTTTTTTTTTTAATTATTTGAAAAGTTTAAAAGCTAATAAATACAAAAAGTGGGACTCGCCCCACAAAACTTGGACAATGTTATGACCAGTTTCGATACTTTCGCGTACGGATGCGAGTTTTACAAGTAAGCAAATTATTATTATAAATCCTTAATTTAATTTGATTTCAAATAGCTAATTGAGATTAGTCTTGCTATGTGCGATAAAGACAATACAAACTTCGTTTTCCGAGGTGCTATCACCGATCTTTTAACGAGCAGTTATTCTTCGTTCAATGACCAAATTACTTCATTCCGTTGCGGAACGTAAGATTCCGAGATACGATATCGAAAGATATAAAAAGATAAATAGCGAAGGAAGGTCATTTTGATATCGTAAATTAGATATATCTCCATGGTTTTGTATTGCTAAGCAATTACGACTCTGCTAGAGAGCTCCTTATCTATACAAAGTTTCGTCATAAACCAGCTGCTACATGTGATCCTGGGGGGGGCTAGAATTCTTTACCTGTACGAGGTGCCTCTTACAAACCTTCAGCTCTCTTTCCCTCTTTCTTTTGCGGTAAAGAGAGAGATAGAAAATCTAGAGAGACGAAATTGAATCATCGATATGCGACGTCTCTTCGAAGAGATCTTCCTTCACCGGCGGTTCCGAACCTCCCTTTCTCTTCTCGAACACTACGCCGACTACGATCTATACTTGACGGGGCATACCGATTAGAAAGACTAGGAGGATTTGCGATAAAAGAGGAACGGGTGTAAGAGATAGGTAAGGCTTAGTTCGATTAATCGAAAACACGGTACTGCGCCTTCGAAAAAGCGTTCTGCAAACACATCGGCTTTATCCAAGGGCTACGAACGAGAACCTTCTTAGATCTACGACGGAGGAGAATGATGTTTGTATTATAAGGATCGAGGCCGCTCGTAAGGCCACACGTATTCGATAGTTACCGAAAAGAAAACTCGACGTACAGCATTATGAATTGCTTTTAAAAGGTTTACAAGTATCTAGCTATTTAACGAAAGGTTTTCTTTGACGTGGTTTTTACTCTCGATTAAATAGTACTTTATATATAATTCCTTTACTTAGCACGTCGCCGTACCTTATAAAAGGTCTTTAAGGTCCAAGCATTGCGTTTTAAATACCCGCCCGACGTTAATAAATATAACAACAACAACAACATGTGATCCCTGAATATGCAATCTGCAAGCCTGCCTTAAAGGCAGGTAGGGGTTATTTCAGCGGTCCTCTGACCCTCTTTTATAAGAGACGGTTATTGGACCGTTTAAAATCAGCACTAGTTACAAATCAAGAATAGTTCACCTTTTGATCGACCCCGAGCTTGGGACCGTCCTATGGCTGTCCTATAGTAATTCTCGTCTAGATTTTCAAAACAAGCTCATTAATAAGCTCATTTTAAAATTCTAAAATAGTTCGATAATTATTCTAAAAAATAAACAGTCGTAAATAAAAACTGGTTTTTAAATGGAATCGTTTTATTGATAATTTAATAAAATCTATGCCAAGATATTTCTCGGTACCACTGTTACGGCTTATATATCAAGGCTTTAAATTTTTTATAATCGAAATCGGTCGATTTAATAAAAGTTCACCCGTACGATTCTCGCCCCTCACTTATTCAAAGGTGGTAAAGGGTGTGTAGGTACCGGTAGTACAATAGAAAGGAGTGCTGAAAAGCATATATAATTATTCGCTTATTAATCTAAGTTCTCCGGAACGGTTTGAAGTTTGGGGACGGCCTTAGGACGGCCATAAGACGTTCTTTAAATGGTCTTCAAACACTCGGAGACGGTTTTCAAGACGGTTTTTATACAAAAATACAAGCATTTATAATAGACAGTTTAGTCGATTAAAATAGTTCTATTTTAGCTACTATTTAAATAATTTAAATCATTTATTTTCAAATTCTATTTAATCTTAAGTATAGGCTTAAAGTGATCCACTAATTATACTAAGCTCTTGAAACCGTCTTTTAAAGAGACCGTCATCGGATTATCAGCTGACGGTTTAAATAACCCCCTACCTGCCTTTAAGGTACTCAAGACGATGTTATTATTATTGTTATTATATTTATTAACGTCGGGCGAATAGCAAGCGAAGCCTGCCTCCTTCAGGCCTCTCATAAGGTATGTTACGGTAGCTGCGGAGCGTGACCTCGTGAACTGACTGAGACCGTTATATAGGTAGTCAAAAGCAGAATAAACCTCCAATCTATTCTTGTACCCTTTAACCGGGGTCTGTTGACCGAGAAGTACAGCTATACTCTCTGTACGATTAGGTAGTACTACAATTGCTATTCTATTCGAGCCGTAACATTGCCTTCCGACGGGTCTTGCTTGCTCCGCTGGGTATAATATAAGGGAACAAAGTGAAGGCGGAGAACGTCTAGGAGGACTGTCCCAAGTAGCTGGATCTGGTTTCAAGGAGCCTAGTGTACTCAAGATGATGGATGAACTGGCGGCCTCTTATGCACGCAGTAAGGGGCCGCCAAAACTTCGAATATGAACCTTATAAAACCTTATCGCAATAAAGGATTCAGCCCACCCAGGGGAAAGCCACAGAACAATAAGCCCCCAGACCGGGCACTCTCGCGACCTGTCCAGAGTCGCTCTCGGATCTCGGGTAATTTTTTGAGATCAATATAAGAAATGAAACGGAACATTTCTCATCGAGACAGCAGGCTAACAGGCTAGAAAAATAAATCCCCCGAAGACAGATCCAACCTCGACACCCTCAGGGATACAAAGGGATAATACATCAGAAAGGCAGCTAGTATCAACAAGAGAAAGAGAGAAAGCCGCGACTCGTGAACGTCGACGTGGCCCTCCTAAAGCACACTATTCAAGAAAGAGAAGGATAAACAATTGGGTAGCAAAACTTGGAAGTGTATCAAAGCCCCCTACCTGTAATCACTGTATACAAATACTGTACGCGTAACTCGATTTGATATATTGTATGCATGATATAGGTTTGATGCCAGACAGTTTTCCTCGAGGGAGAAACAGAAAGGGGATTAGAGGTTGTTGAAATAGAAGTTAGACTAGCCAGTCTTCAGGTCACATGATTGATTAGACCAGCGGAAACGAGGCCAAGCATAAACACAAACACGCTCGCAGCATCTTCATAATATCTTCTTACACATATTAAACGATACTTTATGACCACTTCTCTAGGTGATACCTTTGTCGCATATCCCTACGCCTATGTTTGTGCTTCAACGCGATGCGGCCGTGGATAGCAATATTCGTGTAGAGAAAACCGGCTGCAGTCGCGGTCGCGTTCGGATCCAGGGCGCTGTTAAGTGATTCCCGTATTATTGCCAGAAAAAATTCCTTTGAATCCGAGACAGAGAGGAACCCACCTAAACCAAATTCACCAGTCTCATAATCCTTTACCACAACCTGCTCAAGGAGTCACACCTTCCACTTAGATCAGATAGACAAGCACCACGTCGGCAGTTCAGCCTATTAGCCACGTGATCTCCAAGAACCTCGTCTTCGCTGCCCTAGCATCTGGTCATTCTCTGCAAGAATAATCTCTCCGCTCAGAATGGCTTCTCGTCATTCGGTCACTCCGAACGGCAGTGGTTATCATGAAGTAATCGACCTTGTCAGCAGTAACGAAGACGAGCCTCAATCGAAACAAAAGAAGAAACCAATCTATATCGATTGCACCACCCCGTCGCCTCCACCGCGCCGACCGCGTATGGGTCCTGGCAATGCTCCTAAGACAGAAGCAATACCAGCAGTACATGCTACGGGCTCTTCGGCAGCAGCTCCCCCAAAAGCACCGCCGTCTAAAGTCCTTTCGGCGGCTTCTTCAGCATCGGCTCCCCTTAAAGTACAGCCATCTAAAGTTCCTTCGTCAGCTTCTTCAACATTGGCTCCTTTCAGAGCACAGCCATCTAAATCCCCCTCGATGGCTAATGCACGCATCAAAGCCCCGCCTTCGCTTTCGTCGATCAAAACCGCGCCGCCCTTGGAGCAAAGATTTCAATCCTCTAGAACGGCTGCCGCGGCCCGATCGCTCCAGTCTTCAATCAATGATACGCCAGCAAGACGGATAAAATCCTCTCCTGGAACTGAGAACCGCCCAAGAGACAGTACCCCCAAAGCCGCACCAGAAACTCAAAGTAATGACAGCCCCACTCCAAATGCTCGAGTCAAGTTCGTGCGCCCACTTCGAATCGAGTCGTCTGACGCCAGTGATGAAGATTCAGATGTTGTAGGAGACATCTTGCCAGCCGCTTCTGCTATCTCAGCGGATCCATCGCAAAGGTCTCATCCGTCAGCGTCTTCAATCGGTCCACACTCCCCGTTGATGACCCGTATCCAGCGAAAAAGAATGGCGGACGGGAGAAGCACCTCTCCGAGAGAAGCCATAGCCCGACGAAGCGAGTCAAAAGCCACACCAGAAGAAGCAGGATCATCAGATCACGATTTGGAAGACACGCTCCGTACCTTTTGTCAGGCTATGAAAGATGATCATGCCTGTGCGATTAGGTACTTAATTGAAGATGCCCGCAAAACCGCGCAGAAATTTAAGTCTGATTTTACGGATAAGATATCACCCTTTTGCTCTCTAACGTCAGTGAAGTCGGTCCTAGACGAGCCAGCTCCTGCAGGAACATCCACAGAAACTGTCAATCATTTCGTGAGTGCTCTGTGTCTAATGCTCTGAACTAGAAGCTTATCGGTACAGCAATACTCCAAGGGTGGTAGTAAGGTAACCAAGAGTAAAAGCACACTGGTTGCGACCAAGGTTTGTGACAACACACCTCGGGTTCCAAAGTACACCTCTCATACCAACGTCCGTCGGAACATTCTTCGACCTGACGATGAAACGCTCAAGTTTGTTCCGTTTATTGAAGGGTTAGAAGGGCCAAAGGACAGAAGATGGGAGGAGTTGGCCAAAGAGATGCATTCCGCTTATACTGGTCATCGAAATGACGAAACCAGTCAAGAGATCGAAGAGCAGTCTCGTATTCGGTCTTATATCCCTCTATGGCTTGACGAACTCCACCAAGGCTGTGATTTGGATGATTTAAAGCATTATCTTCTTCTCCGGGATGTAGACGTCGGCGATCTCGGCCTAGACCCTCGGAACCAAAAATTGCTCATCAAGACGTTCAAGCCATTTAACGAACCAACTAAGACAGCCGCTAAGCGCTTTTGTGAAGCGTTTGACAATTGCGGAGCTTTCGAAGTCTCTCTTCAACACATCGTTATTCCAGCGGCACTACTCAACGAGATGATAGCGGCTGCGAAAAAGAAACCCATCTCACCAGTCAACCGTATTGAGACCTATGCAAGTATGACTTGCTTAATATGCGCTGCGATTGATTGTCCAACACATGGGGACTTTATGTATGAACGCTTGAATGACTCTGATATGGATGAAGATATCCATGATCCCGAAACGAAGTACGAGCCTCTTCATCTCGCCTTGAGCTATGAAGACTCACTGCGAAAGCATCAAAGCCGGGCCTCAGCCGCACATTTGGCACCTACTGCCAGAGGCAAAGGCAACCGCTGTACTGAGGCCTGCTACCTATCATTTGACTTCTCCGAGCAGTCCTACCAGATCTCAGAGGAAAACCTTGCATACATTCCTCAAATGCTGCTTGTATTCAAGGATCCTGTGTATAGAGCTTGTCTTATTGCTTTTGCATTGGATATCCCTTGCTGGACGGTCTATGCCGAGATTGAAAAGCTTGAAAGGGAAGGTCTGCCGGATAGAAAGGAGGAGCCAATCAGTGACCGTCCAAAGAAGCCAGCTTGGTACGACAACAAGCGAAAGTTCATCCACGGCGATTTGAATGACCAGACGACCGCACACTTACACCAGATGCGGACGCAAGCAGTCCCCGTAAGTTTTTTCTCATCGCATAGCCCAAAACTGATTGAACACAGTGCTAACATGATACTACAGTGTGGTCACGCTGGAGCTTGCATCGAGCGGCCAGGCGATGAAAGGCACTCCTGCCATTGCGCTACTTCCAATATTCTGTGCGAGAGCTTTTGCGGTTGTCCCAATGACTGTCCACGCCGATTTACTGGCTGTCCCTGTAACTCTTTCGGAATCTCCTGTACGACTGGCAGCTGCATTTGTATCCAGATGAACCGCGAATGTGGCCCTGAATGTTGGTCATGCGGAGCACTTGAGCGAATCGACCCTATCAACAAGTACAACGACGACCTATTCAAGACCGGCTGTCAGAACGTTTGGCTGCAGCGCGGAGTATCGAAGGCCACGGTAATGGGCGAGAGTCAACTCGTTGGATTCGGTCTGTATCTGGCAGAGACAATCAAGAAGGGCGACTTTATAAGCGAATACACTGGCGAAGTAAGTTAGTTAAACCAAGTCCGGAACCTCACTGACCTAATACACAGAACATTTCCTCTGAAGAAGCAGACCGCCGCGGTATTGTTTACGACCGGAAGCTTCTCTCCTTTCTATTCGATCTCAACCGCGACCGCGTCATTGACGCCGCCCGGCTCGGCAACAAAACACGCTTCATCAATCACGCTTCCTCTGCCACCGACGGCCTGAATTGCGAAGCCAAGATCATGCTAGTCAACGGCGAGCACCGCATCAAGTTCTTCGCGCTACGCGATATCGACGCAGGCGAGGAACTACTCTTCAACTATGGAGAGAAGTTTGCAGAGAAGCAGGGCTTGAACAAGACGCTGCCGAAAGCTAGAGCAGGAAGTAAGTGGGGTGTGCTGGAAGGCGATGAGGCGCTGGATGCGCTTGATGGGATGGACCAGCGGAAGAGGGGCACGCGGGAGAAGATGTATGCTATCCGTGGTGGGAAGGCGGGTGGGAAGTCGGGACGCGGAGGCAAGATGAGGAAGAGCGCATTGAGTGTGAGGCTGGATCTGGAAGCTGCTGTCGACGAATCTGTTGAAGACGATGATTACAATGTGGTGCTGGATGAAGATGCGAGTGAAGAAATAGAGGATGGAGAAGACGAAATTAGGGGAAGAGGTAGGGGTAGAGGGAGGGGGAGGGGGAGGGGAAGAGGAAGACCTAAGAAGAGGAACGAGATGCCTATTTGGTGAAAGCGGTAGTCTGATAGCTCGTAGTTAGGATATCTTGGTCGTTATGGATGTGTGCGTGTGTGCAAGACGATGATCTTTATTGATATGAGGACTAGAAACTTCGTCAGATCCTGTGGCTTCCCGTGTCTATACAAATAACAGTTACCGATGAAAAGTAGGTTTTTTTGTTTTCTCCTGCACTTCCTTCAACTGTGCCGTCGTGAAAAGGAGACCGGTTTTCATCTATTTAGTTACTCCCTTCGATCAAATCGCAAAGAGTAAATTCTCACTTATCGATTTTCGTAAAATGCTGTATGTTGTAGATGCATCACTGCTCCTATCTCCCTCTCTTTCAAATATTTAAAGAGTGGCGCCGACCCATAGACAGTAAAGAGGGTGAATGAGCTGAAATTAATTTGTTTATCCACGTGATAATATTACGCGAGACGAGTGCGCTTTCCTTTCTGACGGTTGCCGAAGTCCGGCCGACTTAAAAGAGAGAGGCAGCTTGCCTACCTAAGGTACCTACCTCACCAACCTCACCAGCCCTACCAACTACAACTACATCAACTCAACATAGCGTCAGAACCAACACCAGAAGGTGCATGGATTGCGCGCTCGACACTTAAAATGGATCTCGGTGCTGCAGCTTCGATGGAAGATAAGGCGCAAGATCACCACGCGCAAGATCACCACGCGCAGTCAGACGATATCAAAGCAGATGGATCTGGTGAAACGGCAGAACAGACTGGCGGCGAGGAAGGAACGGGTGCAGAAGATGAAATTGGTGCCAGTTCTCAAGGCCAGAACCAGAGAGGTAAGTTGATACCGAACACGCGCGATCAAAAAGCATCCTGCTTTTCTTTTTCTATACTCCGCTCATCCTACTCTCCTTGCTATCCTCAAGTAACTAGACTTATCTTTAGCTTTGTTTCCGGTCGGCTTGAGTTGCGTGCCGCATACTAACTTAGAACAGTCAGAATCGAAGGTGAAGAAGTTCCGTACCTGCCAAACGAAGTATGGCTCAAGATTCTCCGTCAACTTCGACTATGCGACATCAAAGCTCTGCGTCTGGCGTGCCATAAGCCATGGACCGAGTTAGGTGCAGGTCTCTTGTTCCCTAGATTTGTATTCCGACCGAATCGAGACGATTTCCAGCGCTTCCATGAAGTATCGAAACACCCGCTGCTTTTAGATGGCATATCCGAAGTACGATTTGAGATTGGGGCGATGAATCTCTACCACATGGTCAAGCAACTCTCGTTAGAGTACGCGAATGAGTACAACGAATCCCTCCTCAACTATCCCCACGATATCACCTATACCAAATTCATCCAGGAAGTGAAGGATATGGCGGTCCGCGAATACGCCGTATGGAATGAATCATGGCATAAATCTGAGCAAAGTTATAAGGATCCCAGTACGCTTCAAGAAGTGTTCCAGAAGATTCCAAAACTTCGCAAGGTCAGTGTGACGCGGAGGTCATGCACTTTCGAGAATATAATGCTTTGCAATGCCTTCATCGAGGGCACGGGTTTTAACGACTTCGAAGGTGCCGCACAGGAATTTCTCGCCATACTTAAGGCACTCTCTGCAATGCCTGAATGCAAGCTGGAGAGCCTTATCCACGACCAAATACCCGTCACCCTCTTCAATGACCAGGGCACTCTGTTTCGAGAAATCCCTGCCGAGTCATTCAAGCATCTTGTCATTCTTGAACTGGGTCTCGAAGCCACGATGAGCCCCCCCAGATCTGTTTGGAGGGGTTTGGGACCCTTATTGAAGTCAGCAATGCACCTCAAGGAACTCAAGTTCGGCTTCGACCCCTTCGATCGATACACAGAAAACGCTCCGGTCTGGTCGATGGATAAAGAAGAGCCGGAGAGTTGGTACCTTCCTCTTTGGAAATTACTAGACTCTCATACCTGGCCGGGCTTGCGATCGTTGTGTCTGGATGGCTTGCTAGTCTGCGAGACCGGGCTGATTGACCTACTCGCACGACATGCCTCGACCCTCCGAACGCTCAATCTGAACACGATCGGTCTGTGGGAGGGCAGTTATCGAGGACTTCTCGCACAGATTCGTTCCACATTGCAGTTGACGGATTTCCAGATATATGGTCGCCTGCGGGCATTCCACTCGCCTGATGAGCAATTTGGAAAGATACGCCCCGCTCTCATGTATGTATCCTGTCCTACATCGCCTGCAATTGGGCATTTTGCAGCACGGAGTATCGGACCCCCTGGGGAACCTATCGCAAGCGCAGATTGCGGCCCAAGACTCCGACAGTTCGTCTTGGAGGGCGGTGCATGGCCGACGGGGCCGATGCTGATCTATACGGGTATGACTCAGACACCTCCTGACGAATCCCAACACTCGGCAAACTGTACGAACTGCGCAGTCAACAGAGCTCGGATCGATAAGGATTGGCCGGCTGTGGAGTACCTGGGCGGCTGGGAGGATATCGATCCGGGTGCGGAAGACCCTGATGATGGTGAGGAGGAAGAAACCCCCGCCGAAACCGAGCAGTCCGGAGTCGAGTCGACGTCGGAGCCTGGCGACCCTCACAAGAATTATTCCTCCGACATCGAGGACCACATTGTGGATAACGGCGAGAGCTACGATGAGGATGGTTTCGACTCCTGGGGGTTCACTAGGAAAGACTACGAGGAGAGCGATGGGCCTTATTTTAAGCTACCAGGCGAGCGGATTGGTGGAGTCTTTCTCCAGAGGCATATCCTGAGACAGACGCGTGCGCTTCTGGACAGATTCCACATCCTAATTGACTGCTTTCGAGATGGGCGCTCTATGGGTATTGATCCGAGGGATTTTGAGGATTTTGAGGAGCGGTGGAGACGTCTTTAACGACTTCATGTTGGACTATGTACAAGAGTTGTAGATACGCTTTTCTATACGAATTTGGGGCGAGGGGGGAAGGGGG